ATTATACAAAGACAAGTTTTTTTATGTTCTTGATGCAGACCGTAATTTTAAAGTTGAATACCCTGGTGGCACCCTGAAAGCATTTCATTTGTCCGTCCTGCTTCCTCTCGTCTTTAAACTGTGAGTAATCAGGTTTTTTTAATGCTTCATCCTTACATTTTTTTTTTTCCAATCAGTGTCAAGAAGTTCCTTAGAGACCCATCATGTAGATGAGCAATGGCAGCCACAAACAAAAGGGGTCAGTGAGTGCAGGATGAGGGAAGCTAATGTTCATCTATTATTCTGGGATCTGCTAATGCTGGCTTCCACAGCCTAGGCGTGGAGCGTGGAGCGTCAGGTGTCAGCTTAGGACATCCCATTCATGCTGCACGTCTGAGACTTATAGGCAGATGTTGGGCCATTAGCCGATTGGGTGTTTCGCCTTCATCGTCATCGTGACTGGGCTTGGAATCACCTTGGAGCCACACCCATGGAAGTATCTGTAAAGATGATGTCAGTGAGGTTGAGTGGGGAAGGGAGACCCACCCACATGGAGGGTCGTGCCCTCTCACAAAAGCCGACTCTCATTCACAACAAAAAACGGGAGACAGAGCCAGCTAAGCACAAACTTCAACAACTCTGTGCTTTATGGACTATCCAGATGGAAGAAGTTCCAGCTGCTAGGATGGACCGTGCCCTCTGAGACTGTGAGCTAAAACAAGCTTCCTCCCTCGAGTTGCTTTTTGTCACCTGAGAAAAGTAATTAATTTATGTTTTAAAAGGCGAGGCATTGGGAAATGAATGAAGACGAGGATTAACCACCTGAAATATAACCCCTCGAGGTATCTGGTTAGATACTTTATTTAAGCTGTTAAGAGCTCTGACTGGTCCCATTATTAAGTCTTGGAGCCTTTCTTAGAGGCTTTAAAAGCTATTTCTCCCACAGGGGATTTTTTTTTCCACCTAATGCTTGGATGAGGGGATTAAAAAAAATATGAAAAAACTTTAAAGCATTTGCTTTGGATTGCTGGGTACTTGAACTTAACTTTAGAATATTTCATATTATTATTATTATTATTATTATTATTATTATTATTATTATTATTATTCTTGAGACAGGATTTCATGATGTAGTCTTGGCTGGCCTGAAACTTACTACATAGACCAGGCTGGCCTTGAACTCACAGAGATCTACTTGCCTCTGCCCCCTGACTACTGGGATTAAAGGCATGTACCACTGCACCCAACCCAACTTTAGAATGTTTTAAATTGCAGCTCACTTAGGACCATTTTAGAACAGTCCTTCTATAGTATATTTGAGTGAAATAAATTCAAGACTACTTTGGGCATGATTTTAAGCAACCATCATGGCAGTTTGTAGTCTAGCTCCGAAAACAAACAAAATCATAAAGAATCCAAATAAAAGACCTATGTTCTTTTTCAGAGCTAAACTGTGGGAAAGTGTTTTGAAGATGCTTTTTCTCCCAAAGCTCTCCCTTAGTTGCCTGAAAATTAATTATTAAATATTCAGAAGCTTCTTTGGAAAACATTATAATAGTTTTCTAGGGACTATGCCATTTCAGATGCATTGTTAGGTGATTACAGGAGAAGGAGAAGCTAGTGATGAGGTCAAGGATCAGCAGGGTGGAGAGGAAGAGGAGCAGGGGAAGGCAGTGGCTTTCAGACGGGAGTTATAAGAAGCTCTCAAAGCCCTAAGATGGACTTCATTTGCCAAGTCTCTGATGATTTCAAAATGTTCACCTGCCCTTAGGCTTTGTGTGCTGAAGACTCAATCACTAACATTAAGTAGCTGACGCATAAAACAAACTTTCAAGATGCTTTTGGAAAACAAGAAGAAAAACAATGGGAGAAAGTGTAGGAGTACTTTCTCCGTCTCTGAGATAGGAGGGGAGTGGAAAGCCTCAAACAAAATGTTGTACCCGTCCCACTTGACTAATTTTAGTTATCTTGGTTCATGGCTATGATTCATCCCTAAAGCTGTGAATTGTTGAGGAGGAAGGAGAAAAAAAATTGAGTTAAATGTCAAAGAAGTAGGAACATAAATATAGTTTTCTTTTTTTGGGGGAATCAGAATTCCAGGATCTGGGGATCTTTTTTTTCAACAAGGGACTGAAAGCTTCAAACTTCTAGAAAAATAATGGCTCCAGTCAAAACATCATCAAGGACTAAGACAGGATTGATTCCAAGTCATGACACTTTCGAGATTCTCTTCTTCAACATGGTTACTTTAGTCATTAGTCAATGATTACATGTGACTAAGTATGGTGGAAACATGATACATAGCCTGGGGCAATGCATGGCACTCACAGAACAGGACAGGAAGAAACACATGCTGATAAACAGACCTGGGAATACTGGGGAAGGCCGTGGTTATACAGAGAAGAAAGGCATGGCGACATAGTACTCAGGCATTCTCCGGCATGCTAAGGAATAGGAGTAGATGCACAGATGGCCTGTTGAAATTCTGTCCTGAGTAACACAGACATGTTTTTAAATTTGTGAGTAAACTGGTTTTCATTTTGAGTTTTCATTAGTTTGGAGAATAGAAAGAGCCCTGACTCACATTCAATTTGAGCACCTCACTGAAGTAGACCATTTGCCTCCAGGAGTAACCTCCCTGGGGCCCCACGGACCACACATACCTCAGATGAGTGTGGCTCCCACACAAAGCATACACGTATCTATCTAAGGCGTTATTGTCATTATTATTTGTGTGACTCAGCTACATGGTTCTCAGACATGGACTTTATAGATGACGGCATGTCACGATGTCGCCAAGTTGTGCACCTGACAGCAGTCACTATCTGTCTGCTTCTTTCTGCCCTTCAACCTTCTAGAGTACAAATGAGTGTGGCTATCTAGATATGGCCCAGAAAGTTAGTGAAGAAGTGTTATGTAGAAGGCAAAGGAGAATTAGTTTCAAGGGATGTGTTTCTGGGAAGAGCTTTCAGCAGAATGTCCCCAGTTCAGCATCTGTCTGTTCCCAGCCTTTCCAAAGCTTTTTTCATTATCCTCACAGCCCTTCTCTTGACTCTTTGCTTCGTATCTGCGTATTGCTGTGAACAATGGCAATCACTGTATCCCATCACCTAAGACACAACGTGTCACTCAGCTGATGTGTCCCGCTTGTCCTGGTGATGACCTAATAGGGTGCTGTGGATGGGGGAGAATGCTGGAGGCTGCTCATCCTTATCTCTTCCCTTCAGATTAGCCCAAGAGCTTGAAAGGCTAATGGGACTTCCTGCCCTCTGCATGCTTTCACTTGTCTCTTTTGACACCATGGCTGTGACAATAATTATCTCTTGCAGAGAGATATTTTAAGGCCTACAAATTATATATAATACATATACATATCATATATTTAATATGTAATTAAATACATGACGTATATTGCCAGGGTCTCAGGCTGCCCTCACTGTACAACACGTTGGCTTACTATCGTTTTTTTTTATAATACCAGTTCACTATTTGATTTTTTGAGCATCTTTCAGTCTTGTCAAAATTCAACAGAGATTTGTTTCTCCTTTTAAATTTCCCCAGCTGAGTCATGTGAGAGGTTGAATCATATCCCCCAAATAGATACACTGCCAGTATTTGTGAATGCTTACAGCAAGAAGAGGGTCTTATAGATTTAATCGAGTTAACATAAAGCTAGTGTAGGAGGCCCCTGATGATATGATGGTGATGAGCTGTTGCCTTTAACCGGAATTCAGGGAGAAGCAAGGAACGATTGACCTCTGCAGGTTTTGGCAGGCACACAGCCCGACACTTGCACCTTCTTGTGCTAGGAAGTTGTAAATTTGTTGTTTGTGCTAAGTTTGTGACGATAGCCCTAAGATTAACACACAAAAGTAAAGTGAAAGAACATGGGGATGGAAAGGTGAGAAAGAAGAGCTTCTCTTTGTGGGTTAGTTAACTAATATATCAATGTTAATTTTCAATTAAAAAGATTTCAGAGCGACACCATATGGTTCCTTGGATAGGAACCAAGAGTAGATTTTCCTGTCCAGTTCTTTATGTCCTTCACTATTTAAATGATTCTTGTTATATCAGTCATCTGCTCTTCAATGTTCTTGATCAACAATCTGATTTGTATTTTTAACTTAACTGCTTTGTCCTTTTCTGTCTTATTTGTCTCTTAATATTTCACTCTGTAACCCAATTCAAGTGCATAAATAGTATGTCACATGCATCTTATAAAGAGAACACTTTGAAAACACTAATTACCTACAATATATCTTTCCGGCCCAAATGGATCTATATTTCAAGGCTCTGATTTACTCTCTATAAATAATATAAAATACAACAGGCCTGTTTGAAATCATCATTGTCTGAGCCGAGTATGGTAGAAAGGCCTTTAATCCTAGCCCCAGAAGGCAGAGGCAGGCAGATCTCAAGGCCAGCCTGGCCAACACAGTGAGCATCAGGCTAGCCAGGGTAACAGAGTGAGACCTTGTCTCAAAAAAAAAAAAAAGTCAGCTTTAGTTGTTTCCTTTAGCAAAGTTGTTTTTCTCACATTTTTTAAAACAAACAAGAACCACTTTTAAGGTCTTATAACCTGTAATTTCAGATTCAAACATGCATATCAAGAACTGTCATGTACTACTATTCCCAGCATAACCACTTCCTATAAACTTCTCCAATATAACCATTGCCATCACATTACATCAATTCTTTGAGAATCCACATCTCTTAAGGAAGAGAGTTTACTTCTATATTTAGTAGCTTAAAAACTGTTCCATATATATATATGCAGACCGTTTTTACTGACCAGAAATTGTGTGTGTGTGTGTGGTTTCAAAAGTCATTCTGATTGCTTTTCGGAGCTAAGCGTCCACCTGCCCTTTGATGACATTGGTATCTACCAGTCAAATTCAATGTGAAAATCCTCAGGACACTCAGTCATTATACCACTGTATCTGAAGTATGTTTTTTGCTTCACTCTATCAGTCAATGCCTAGGTGCAAACGCCAGGAAAGCACAGAGGTAGTATAGCTTACTTGAGTGTGGTGAGCTCTGTGAGGGATGGTTGTGTAGCCTTGAGATAGCTTTCTCTTCTGGCAGCCATTTTGGGAGATGGCTTGGGACTCGTGTCTGAGTCCCCGCTGTCCTCATCCCCCATGGCCTTGATGTAGCTGCCGCTTCGCATCCTCCGGCATGGAATCTCATCGTCCTTCCCACGAGGCGTGTACCCTGTCCATTCATCTTGGGGAACCTAGTCAGGTATAAGACAGAAAGGTTACTTTCAATTAAAATTGAACTTTAAAATGTTTTCCTTGTCTTTTTTAAAATGACTCTTTATTAGACAACAGAGATTAATTATCTAACCCTTAGACATTAGTTTTTATATTTAAGTCTTACTGTAACCATTTTGAAAATTAATTTTAACACATGCAGATCTTGGTTGCAATCTTAGACAAGCACCGAACATCTGGAAAAATGGGAACCACTGGTTCCGGGAACTTAATACTTCTCATCTTTCTTACACCTTTAACAGTTGAGGTGGAAGACTGTGAGAAAGAGCCATTTGACTCAAACTGACCTTTGTCCATCACCACCCGGAGTCAGGGATGTTCCCTGCCTCATCCTGGTTTCTCTGACTTCATCTGTGCCATCCCCCATCTGCTTTGTTTTCTTCCGGACCACTGCTCTGTTCTAGCTGCATTTACTGTCCACCCACCCATTCTTCCTGAGCTCTTGTTAATTTATATCTGGCCTTGGTGTCACTGCTTAGAACACATTTTGGGAGGTTTTCCAGGGATGTTTTCACGACAGCCAATTGCCTTTCTCTCAGGTTTTGTGTCTGCTGGCCTCTCCAGCATGCACACACACCACCCAGAGCACACTTGCTGTCGGCATCTCCCTGTTTGGCATCCTGCTTGCCCTACAACTTGGGATAGCTACCAGCCATTTTTTTTCCCCTTCAGTTCTGCTGGATCATTCTACATTCCTCCCTATGGAGTCCACACCGGAGGATTCTGTCAGTGCGCTTTCTTATGTTTTCCACAGCCATTTCTGCTAAGCTGCGCAGGGCATTACATATTCTGTTTTACATTTATTAAATTATGACTATTTCAGTTCCTTTTTCTACTACAGCATGGACTCAACCCAATTCCTACTTAGCGTCATTCTTCTTCCATTGGTGAAAGAAACACATAACAATCACTGGCTTTAACCTTCAAGAAGTGAAAAGAGCTTGCAAAGCATGGTGCCCTGTACAGAGTTTAATCAAAAGAGACAGACCAGTGTGAGGCTGTTCTTACTGATGACATGAATATAACAGGCAGGTGTAGATACATAAACACGGGAACACCTCTAAATTAACATGCTTACAGGTTGAAGGTGCTACCCCATATGGAATATCCCGCTATAAAGAGACACTAAAAGCACGGCCCTTCAGTAATGAAAATGGGATGAACAGTCTTAGAGGGTCTCCCTTAATGGTCAGGTTTACAGTGAGAAGAGAAAATGAATATATATGTACGTATATATATGCATATATATATATACACACACATATATGCATGTATACACATATATGTATGTATTTATGCATGCATGCATATTGGTGTGTTAGGGTCTCATGGGCAAGCCAGTAGCTCACTGTGGCCCAAGATGGCTTGGAACTCTCATTCTACTTGCCTTAGCCTCCTCTGTTCTGGGATCAGAGGTGTGCGCCACCACACTCAGTGATAAAACATCGGCCCTTGCATGCTGGGATTAAAAATTTCTATGCTGAGAATTTCCTGTGTCTGGAAAGCATTGCAGCCACACTCCATGAGGCTAAACAACTTGCTCACAGTAACTTATTTTCCCAGTGCGTCTTTGTGCTTTTATTTTCTTTCTGCAATTTTCCATTGAAAAACTGGAGCTCAGAGAGCTGAAGTCACTGGACAAAGGACACGAGGGGATCCCTGGGATTCAAGATGCCCTGCTTGCTACAGTCCAGGAGTAGCTGGTCAACACAAAACAAACTCCATGAGATTTCTATTCCATTTGTTTTGGCAATTTTTGTCTTATTTTTGTTGTTTGCTTGTTTTAATATTCCTTATTATATGTTGTTGTTTGAAAGAGAGAGAGCGCTATAGTTGAGTGGGTAGGGAGGATCTGGGGGAGGAGAAACCTGATCAAAATATATTGTACTAAAAAATTAAAAAAAAAAGCATACACACTGCAGCTGGTAAAAAACTGTGAAACATAAAAGAGTGCTCTAGTTGAGCTTTAAAAAAAATCAGAACACAGTGAGTTTTTTTTTTTTTAAATGAGAAATAGTCTGTGAATTTGAAACTTAAAAGTGTTAAGAAAATTGGCTCTGATTAATCTCGTGTATATATTAGACATGGGTCCTAAACACTACCCACTGTTCTTTCCTTCTTAAATCATGTACTTCTCTGTGTAATAAAAAACGCCACCCACTGCTAATAGCCCCTTCCAGGGGTGGGGCCCTGTGTGCCTCTCCCTTGTCCATGACAGAATGTTGATGGGCTTGATCCTGTGTCGGCATCCAGAGCTGCCCTGAGCCATGAGTGCGACAGCCTTCCACGTCCAGAAGACACTGTTAACTTCAAGGCTGAGGGCTCTACAGTCACTTATTCGCTACACTTTGACCATTTGTGAATCTCTGCATTAACTGCCATCTAGTGGAAAAAGCAGTTTCCATAATGAAGGCTGAGAGTTGAATCCTGTAGAAGGGGAGGCAGGAAGAGTACAAGCGCCAGAGGGGATGAAAGACACTAGGAGGATAGGGCTTTCTAAATCAACTGGGCAAAGCTTGTGTGAGCTCACTGAGACTCAAACAGCCCGCACAGGGCCTGCACGGGTCTGTATCAGGTTCTCTGAAAATATATATGGCTTTCAGTTTCGTATTTTTATGGGACTCCTGAATGTGTGAATGAGTGGGTCTCTGATTTCTTTACATTTTTGGGCCATATCTTAGAAGCATGTTCTTTTTAAGTGAGAGACAGAGAGGGAATAATTCCTGATGAGAGAGGATGTGGGATAGAACTGGGAGCAATAGTGGGAAGAGAAACCGGAATCAGAGTATATTGTGTGAGAAAAGAATCCGTTTTCAATGAAAGGAAAAATGCCATAACCTTTTGGAAGACAGCTTGATACTATGTACACTAAGCAAAATAAGGGTAATAGGTTCACTCCTAGGGCCTATGAACTCCTCAACCATGAGTTCTTTGGCCATTTACAATACAAAGCATGAGTTCCTTTCTTTGGAGCAGGCTTAAATTCCAAGGCGAAAGCTGTTGGTTACCTCTATGATTTGCATGCCACTATTGTACCAATGGACTTATCTTGCGAGGCTGGTCATTACGTTCACAGCTGGGTAGCCTCACTGACAGCTTTTCTCCCCAGGCAGCCTGAATAGCACTCTCTGATACTCTAAAAGACAGGCGGCATGGAGGAAGCTTCGCGGTAAATACTAGTGTCATAGATGACACTAGTATTTCTGTGATCTTTGCTCTGAGCAGAGCGTGTGGTACTTGCGGCAGCAGAGTCTTCCCATGACAACTTCCACATCCGGATGCTGAGCCCAAGGTGTACAGATGCTGTCTGACACATGCTCTGTCCACCCAGCTAAGAGGCAATGTTGTTCTCGCCTCCTTTTACAATGGAGGGAACTCAGGCCGGACTAGCCTATGTTACAGCTGGGACAGCAGCGTTATCAATACGCAGCTCTGGGCCTTTCCAGGGGCCAGTATCTGATGGACATTTTCTTTCTGGGCCGTGCTTTGTTGCTCCTGTCGAATTGTCCAGTTAGGTCCCTGACACCATCATAGTCCACCACCTACAATATATTTGTCATTTATGAGCCATGCTAGTAGCAATGCAGACTTTCCATTTTTTCTAAGCTGAAAGGCCTCGGGATCACCACAGCAACAAGGATTTCTCAGAGAATTACAAATGATGAGAACAGCCTTGTTTTCCTTCAGTTGGAAAGTGACTCACTGCATAGGTACAATCCTGCTCAGAGCCTCCTCATCAGCTTTGCAATGGCATCCTAAAAGTTTACAACAAGCCATGGTCACCGATGACCCGTCACTTGCCATTTCTCAACACTGATGTGAAGCTCACCAGAGTTGCTCTCTGGAATGTGTTAGAGATGAATGACGCACTGATTAGCTGATACGCCAATTTCTGTTCAGGTGCTCTGCAAACTTAGCTCAAGGCAGAATACCTGGGTTTCAGGAAAAATAGTCTGTGATTGTTGCTAGGGGAACAGGCTGCACAGTGTTTAATCTGTATGCCTTTCAATTAATCATCCTTTTCAAATGATAGTGGTGAAAGAACTGTACCGATTTGACTTCCCTTGACTGGAGCATAAATATTAATGTATTATCCATCTACCCTAGGGTAGCATACAGCAAGATTCCATAGAAAATAACAAAGAGGTTAGTTCTAAAAAATGTAGATGTATAAAATGTAGAATCCGGACAAGAAAAATACCATTGCTAAACTATTATGACCAGCAAAATTGCTATAATCGAGTGTGAGTGTGTGTGTGTGTGTGTGTGTGTGTGTGTGTGTGTGTGTGTGTTAACACTTCAAAGCAAAAGATGGCCATCTCGGAGGTTTACAGTTCCGGAAGGAAGCATACTGTTTTGTAGGGTTCAGAGGGTGCAGTGACCATTTGACCAAAGGACCCTTTCTGACCAGAGTGACCCTCCTTTGTTCAGAAAGAAAGGACGGTATGAGGTAGCAGCTACTACTGTGACCTAGTTAAAGGCTGCTGTGCTTCCTGGATTTCCCCTTTTCACTCCTAGCTTAATTTCCGTCACCCCGTCTCTCCTGAGAAGGCACGGACCTGCGCACATCTGCAGACTCCCAGGCCGATGTGAGTTTGTTTCTTCGTTTACTTTTCTAGAAGTTGCCTCTGGGTAGGGGTAGCTAGAGTTTTAGATTTTGGTGATAAGCCTCTAATACCACGGAGCACCCTGCCCTGTGCTGACTGACATGTGAGTGGCTTACACAGGCTTTCAGATTGCCTCGCACTGTGTCCTAATTGGCCTCTCTGAGCACAGCCTAGCGCTGCAATCAGCCTTCAGACTACAGGTTACGGGGATGGTAGGAGCGCTCTTGTGGCTCCCTCTGTCCATTGTTCTCTCCCTTAGCTGGCTCACCTGCTGTTCTGCTTTCTTTAGCTTACATCAAAAGGCCTTGAGTGCTCCTTAACTGCTCCCCCCACCCCCAACTGGAGAGAAAAAG